CCCTCCCACCCCGGGTCCCCCACGAGGACTCACTGTGCTGGACGCTGCGACCTGGGCTGCGGGACCCGAGCGGCGCCGGGAACAGAGGCTGGAGGGTTCAATAGGATGACGCTGAGTGGACTCTGTTGGGGAGGCACGGTAGCCCCAATATCGAAGGTTGCGGCTCAACAGGCTGAGACACACCCTGCACAGCGAGGCGCTGCCTCCCTCGTCTCCTCCTCTTCCCGATGGGCGCGCTGAAACCCGGGAGCCGGTGAATAGCCGGCGAAGAAGTAAAAATGTCCGCCGGGAAGAAGACTGCGGAAGTTCCGCCCTAACCGGATGCGGTGGCACCAAAATGCCCGGCGTGTTCGCATTGCTTTCTGGGTAATGTAGTTTTCTCAACCGCCCAGGAGCGGGCTAGCTTTCCAGCCTAGGATCCTGAGGAACAAGGTGTTGTAGAGCTGCCAGGGGCGCTGGGGAAGGAGGAGATGGGACCAGAGGCCTGGTTCACTGGGACAGACAGACAGACCTCCCAGGGGAGGGGTTGGGAGAAGAATTCCTGATCTGAGCTCTCTAGGTGAGACTCCACAAAATAAAATGAATGTGTTACCTAACAGGAACGGATCAAATTTCTGTAATTAGGTTGATGGGAACAAAATAATTTTAGAAGTGTGGATAGACAATAATAAAACTAAGTGGTTAATTTTCATTTATAATCATATAGAAACTGTGTGTTGAACAAAAGCTGGCCCAAATAGCCATTTATTTCCAGGAGCCACATCAGTGTAGCGACTGTGGAACTGAGAGGCCTAGACTCAGCTCTCAATCCCAGTACAGACTCTCAGCCCCACCCCTTTCTTGTTAAGGAATTGGGCTCAGCCAAGTTGCACACCTGTCAGCAGGTGCACTCCTCCCACCAGGCGAGGCTGTACCATCAGACACTCTCAAACCACGTGTACAACAGATGGGGGCAGTTTTAGGTTTATGTTGTGTTCTTCTCTGATTTTCCGCGACTGGGTTGGTGCTGCTGCCAATACAGTGACCTGCTGATGGCAAAGAGTCGCTTGCTTAGCTCAGCGGCTTGAGTGGGCACCACTTAAAACCCTCCAAACAGGCCTGCCTGGCCAGTGCTGATGCCCAAGTTGTGGGCTCCATCCCCAGGGGTGGCCTGTGGGAGGCAGCCAATCCATGATTCTCTCTCATTGAGGTTTCTATCTCTCCCTCTTCCTTCTACTCTGAGAGGAAAAAATATATATATATATAAGAAAAAGATAGGCCTCAATGTTGTGTTGCTTTTCTCTAAGGATGCATATAGGTGGGTGTCTGTTGCAAAAAAGGGTCTCTGCTGGTGTTTATGGTGTGAGTTGAGCTGCGATGTGGGAGTCCCTTCGGCCTTTCCAAGACATGTTAAACCTGCTGAGGGGCCACAGAGCTGCCGGGCACCCCATCACTTGCTTTACATCCCTGTGCTGTGCCTCACTTTGCTCAGACTCCAGAGTCCTCAGGTGTCTTCATCACCTAGGCCACTGGGTCAGCATGTCTTTTAGTGGCTATAGGTCTCACAGCTGGGCCCTTTGTTGGAGTCACTTCTGTGCAGCTGTGTTTTTGGAAGTGAGCAGTGCATGGGGGCCCTTCATCCTGGGGGAATGAGGGTACATGCATGGGGGCGGGGCCTGCCCAGAGGGTGCCCCAGGACACATCCTCTCCCTCCCCTCTTCCTGTACTAGGAACTTGGACACCTCCCAGAAGTACCTGGAGGAGCTGCTGGGGGAGAACATGGCCCTTGAGGTTTCACAGGTCCAGAGGATGAACCAACCCAACAACCTAGCTGGCAGGTGGAGCAGCTGTGAGAAGGTAGGCAGCAGCCCCTGGCGCCAGGGAGCCAGCCTGGCTACGATTTCACCCTCACCCAGAGAGCTCAGCCCTGGGCTCTGAATCTCCTGGGTCAGCCCATCCTCACCCAAGTCAATAGGGTTTTATTCAAGGGCCATTTGGAACTGTTCCATTGCCATTCTCCCCAAGGAGAACATGGTCTGGCAGCCTTGAAGTCAAGACATGAACTACAAAGTTAGTGTTGCCAGTTTTCTCAGCTCCCGTGTAGACAGTCCCAGGAGCTTCCAGATGACAGCACGCTGGCACTCAGAGGATGTCTTAGATCCGTCCGTGGGGGATTGAAAGCTCTGAATGGCAGGAGCCTTCCCCAGTGGTCACTGACCTCCATTATAACAGTAGCCTGGGCATGATTTCCTCTGTTCATGTCATAATCGGGCAGATGGGTGGAGTCTGCTCTCTGTCTCCCTGGGCAGGGGTTGC